AGCACTTTAATAGCGATGTTCTTCGTAAGTTGTTCGAGGAAATATCGTCTTTGCGTGAAATAATATCTGTTCTACAGAATGAAATAACACAAGACACGCGTTTTCAAGTAAACGAAATTAACTGGCGTTATGACGCTAAAGGAAGTGAGGTAAGAAGGAAACAGGCTACCCAACCGTTGCTAGTTGCAAAGAGAAACAAATTTAGTGCACTAAATGACACGCAATAAAGGAAAGCATTCACTTGCCCAAAGGTAAATGCTTTGAGAAAGAAAAATAAACTGATGTTCTACAGTGATGTCTACGTCGCTCTGTAAAAACAATGTTGATGTCTCAGTGTATGGTGAAGTGAGGCCTAGTGCTAAGATAAAAGGTGTATTGAAGAATTGTTTAAGAGGTTGTTCATCATTAGGCACTCAGGACTATGTGGTAATTATGGGAGGTGCCAATGACATTGCTAGAAATGAGACAAAGATTTGTATAAATACTATAAAGAGAACACTTGACGAATTTTTACTCTTCAAAAAAAGGGCAGTAAGGTACATAGCAGGTTTAAAACCAATTGAATCATGCAGAGATAGTTTTAGGCATTATTGTATATCGTTATGGTGATACATATATTCATTGTGTACATTTATATGTTTTTATATGAATATTAATTACAAGTAAGTAATTAAAATGTAATTCGTAGAAGAAATATACAATTTGAAAGCATTTGTAAGTCATTATTCTTCCTACATTAATTTTTGCCTCGGACGTTTGGAACAAATCATAAACAGGGTATCAGGGTATACATTTCAGAAATCTACAAGGCGCCGCCAACTACGCAGTCTATCAAAGAGGCAGAAAGACTGCAAAGAATGTGGAAAACTTGTGAAAATGATTTTATTTGTAAGAACAAAGTGATATTGTAATATTTTAGAAAGTGGGTTGACTTGCTGGCCAGTACAAATACTATGTTAAATCGTCAAACTGTCTGGTCCATGACGGACAGAACTCTGCTCTCTGTATCTGATAACAGGTGCTGTCCTTGCTCAGACAGTATTATCTTACTGTTCAAGGGGTTTGATACATTCTTTTTGTCTATTGCAATATTAAGCAGATTGTTTAAGCTTGTCTCTCGAGTGTTAGCAGTCTCCACCACTGTCCACGAGTTGAAACTCCCAGCGCTCGCTCGAACAGGAAATCATCACTCCAGTATCCAGTGTGCGGTGTCAACATCTACGACATGACACTGCAGTATTCCGAAACGAGCGGTGGGGATACCACACTCGAGACTGAGGAAACACACGAAAAACTTCAGCCAGGAAAGTTGACATTAAAAGCGAGTGTCTCCTAAATACATGTCTAAGATTGTTACCTCCGCTTGTCTGCGCATTTAAAGGAAATTTCCTTGCATTTAGTTGGAAGATACATGAGAAAAACCACGAAAATCAGTTAGGACTGCCAATCCATTGCGTCCTAAGATCATTTCTCTGCTGGTAAAATGAACCTGCAGTCACTGTATGGTACATCTACCTGTTTAAATTCCATCATCTCGACACTGTACACGAAAGATCGCTCTTATCTCACTGGAAAAGATCAGCGAAAGATTTTTTTGCCATCTCGAAAAATTTAAAGCTGACTGTTCATGGTGCTTCAACACAAATTATACATTCCCATGCACAAATACAGACAGAATATGGTTTATTTAACCATTACTGACGGCGCATCATGGCTTACACGTAGTAGAGCTTGCCAAGCATTCCAACAGCTTGCTGCTAAACCTAACCAAACCTACCCTAACCTAACCTAACCGTGGACTTATAATCAAGATGGCAGACTCAGAGTACAGGGAATTAAATCCACTTCTCCCACATACAAAATGTTAAATAAAACCAGCAATGAAGGAGAAATATATACCTTCCTTGAGAACCTATTAGCAAAAACAGATATACTAACCTCATCTAAGTCATGACAACTTGTTCCATTTCCTGTGGACCCTGGAGGGCAAGCACCACAGCGAAAGTGTGGGGGATCCTCCATTGGGCCACATTGCACACCTGCACATAAACACCATCCATCCTCAGAATGTCAACTCTTAATAGTGCACGGTCCCTTCCCTTCGAGCTTTCCAACTGGAATTTTATATGTATTTCCCATCATGCATACAACATGCCCTGCCGATCTCATCCTCATGATGATATTTGCTGAAGAGTACAAATAATGGAGCCCAAAATTACGCATTTTTCTCCAACAACCTGTCACTTCACCTTTCTTAGCTTCTGTGTATCCCAAGCTGTTAAAATAATTCAGGAATCAATCAATAAAATTTCAGTACCCTACATTTTAGGTCATGATGTTATGAAAAGAACTGCCATTGGTGGCGGGGAAGATACTGCGCGAGTCTTCGATTCCTCCGCTTACTGCAGAATTATTACCCAACGGCTTACATCAGCCAGCCCAAGGAACTTGTCACAACCGAAGGTTATCACTAGCATCTGGACGACAGGAAGGAAACATAAGAGAGAGATCTGATGGGGGTCAGCACATGGGACCCCTTTCTGCAGCAGGAGGACAAAAACAAATATTCACACAGACACATGATAATGCCATAATCCACAAAATTTGGTCCCAGTATCCAAAGAGTGCAGTGGGACTCTCATACAACCGGCTTTGATTCACTTCCCTCCAAATCTTACACAGACGAAAGTCTTCTAACCTCACATTTATCCATGTAATAATTTCTCTTACTTACCAGGTGCACACGGGTTACTTTCGCAGCCACCGCGAGGTTTACACCTTTGACCGTCGCCAACGTACCCACTGGGGCAAGGACCACACTGGAAGCCTTCCACAGTGTCATAACACCTCACACCTGTAACAAGCAATCAGTGGCTTACAATGGTAGCAAAGACTGGAATCAGGAATATCAAAAGAACCTAACCTAAGATTACTTCTTGAATTAAAGTCAAAACACGGATCTCTTGAAGATCTGTACGATGTGCCTTACATTACAGCGCAACTTGCTGTCAATCAGATTAACAAATATCCCACATCTCTCTTGTGGCACTTTTAGCAATTATACAGAATATGCAGCATTGAAAGAGGAAGATAATTATAATTTTAAATTGGGATAAATATTATTTAAGGTTTTCATAACTGTGATTATGATGACTGCAGTCGTCTGGATTGCAGAGTGGATTAGGATGGGTTAGCTTATGTTACATCAGGTTATGTTAGGTTATGTTAAGTTAGGTTAGGTTAGGTTGGGTGATATATAGTCAAACAGCTAGTAACCACACACTATACAGCGTCCCAACCCAGATAATGCTATCAGCACTGACCTACATTAACCTCTTATGACCTGTTAATGCAAAAGAAAATTCAGAATCAATCAGGCGTTCAGTAAGTCACTGTATAACTTTAACGCTGATCAAGCCATTTCCTCGGAAGCTTTTAAACACTCACCAGAATAGCACGGCCTATCATGACAAGTGAGACCAGGCTTGCAATGACGGCCATCGCCGACATAACCCCTTGGACACTGTCCGCATCGGGGACCATCAGCCGTGTCCTGGCACTCACTCCCGGGGAAGCAAGGTGAAGGGTTACTCTGACATGTCACCTTCAGTGGGGCTGTGAAAACATTACAAGTGACACACGATAGTTCTGTGAAGATTAATTACACTTAGCTTACGTTGGATGCTGCGTCTGTTTGCTGTCACAGGCTACAAGGAGGAGCAGGGAAAAGTGAGGTTAGAATACAACTTTGATGTTAAAAGAGTTTTTATTCAGTTCCATTCAAACTACTGCTACCGATATTGACGTCTCTCTCTTGAACACCTCTGGTGTCATATCCCCTTGATCAATATTGACATAGCAGCTTCAAGATTCAGCCTTCAGAAATATATTGACAATGACACGTAAAAAACTGTCAGTATAGAAACAGCGAATTCCTCACGTTGTGTGTATAATGTATCTCAAAAACTAACAAGAATAACTGTAGTGGGATATAACACCTGACAAATGACAGTAAAGGTCCTGAATGATTTGATTCAGTTTCTTACCTGGCGCACACAGCTCGCATTGTTCCAGAAGCTCGCGGAGATTGTGAATCTCAGAACGCTGAAACATTTTCAAAGTAAATGTGATATGATGGTCAATACAGCAGAAGTACATACAGATTTTAGGCTGTCCCACTATACACCACGTAGGCGCACTTTACCCCCGGGAAAGGACCCCCGGTACACATCGGATACGAGGATGGGCCCCAGAGCTGGTCTGGATGCAGAGGCTAGTTGCATCCTGTAGTCTGGTATAAACCGACTGTCATTTCTCAGATTCTTCATGCCTCCACAATCAGGGTATAATCCTCACAGACCTTAAAACATCGCCCTGGAGCACTTCTAAAATGTTTCTACCCGACAACATCGCACGACATCCCAGAAGACAGACATCGTCATACTCATCACCACAAGAAATTGAAACCTCAATTTAAAAAACTGGACGTGACTCACCTGACTTCCGACCTCTTCCTTGAGCTTCTTCAGGGCGAGAATAAGATCATTTAATGTTTTAATCACCAGATTATCTGTAAAAGAGGACCCAGAACATCAATCTTGGTTTTAATTCTGAAATCCACGAAGATGTGACATCACAAATTACCAACTCCAATTCCGGTTAATGTTATTAAATTTTAATATTGTAAGAACTGTTTGATTGACCTGAAAGGGTTAACTTCTAATCCAATGCACAAAACTCACCTCTTTCATCGCAATCATGAATAACCGGAATATCACCTGAAAATAGATAATGAACAAGACACAATCCTGTAATTTTCCAGACACCAGTACAACAATGAGGTCTTTATGGACCTGCCATCTATAATGTCTCTGATAACTTTAGAAGAAATAATAAGTTACATAAAGTTAGGTTAGGTTGGGTTGTTGTAAAGGTTGGTAACGCTACCTATTCTTCACGATTGTGAAGGAAGAGACA